TGAAATTTCAAATTTGTCTTTTCTTTCCAGGATGACGTAAACATATGAAAAAAAAACGAAAAACAATAAAGAATCTCCCGCTTGACTTTTGCAATTGAATTCAGTAGTAAAAACTCCAGCATATTGAGATCATCGTGAGAAATGATATTAAATCAGGCAACCAAAGTCTCGTCAATAAGACCCTCCACATATAACGAAATGATTTCGAGTCAAAATTTTGGACTTTCCAACTTGCTCGAATATTCTGGAAGGGATAACTTATAACAAGCCAAACGATCAACAAATCTCCGAAAATTTTCAGGTATCCGAAACTGTTAGGAATTTTGCACCTGATTATTTAGTAACAGAAAATATATTAACTGTGTAAATAAAATCCATAATTTTAAATCTGAAGAATTAAATATCTATGCATTTGATTATTTGCTATGCTAAACCTTTAAGTCTATTGTATAATAAGAGTTATAAGATAGTAAAAGAGGTTCAATTGCAAGGATAAAATTTATTCTTACTTTAAATCTAAAAATGTTTGAAATGTGTTTTCGCTAATTTAGCATTAAAGTAGGTCCTTTTTAAGTAAGAGCTAAGATAGCACAGTAGATTCAAATCAAACCTCTATTGAAGTTTCATCTCCTATACGTATATGTTTCGATTCATAAAATTATATTAATAAAGTATATATATAAATCATATTAATAAAATATATATAAATTATATTAACAAAATTTTCTCAATCTTGTTATCTATATTAAACCGTTAGACTTTTCAAAATTTTCTTTTATTTCTCTATAGATTTCATAGCAATAATGGGCTCCAGAAGCGACTCCAGAATTAACAATAATCCAAATCTGCAAATACCCCAGCAATCTAAAAGCGTGCAAATGTATAATATTTATGAGGCAACCTCTTTTGCGAGTAATAAAAAAAACTTTATAAACAAAAATAAAAAAATATTTAGTTATTAAAAATTATTTATTTGTAATTAATTACCGTCTTTAAGTTTCAGATTTATTTCTCCATATATATTAACTAAATTATTAATAATTTTTATTATTATAAAAAATATATGTAATAAATATACCAAAAAATATAAATATTTGTATTAGAATTAATATCTTTTTTGTGTCTTATATCTTATATAACCGTATTATTTCATGATTGTTAAATTAAACTAAATTATTTTACAGTGTTAAATGAATAAAATTACATTTTACATGATTTAATCTATCTTTCCTTTTTTACTTATTAATTTATTATTTTATTAATATAATTTTATGAACAAAATATATATACATATAGAAGATGAAACGTCTTCCTAGCTAGCCTCCCGCGTTACGCACAAATTCAATAAAAAAATTATATGATTTATGCACTAATTATGCACTCACCAAATTCATCAAAAAAAATTTTGCGCTTTTTTAGTTTAGCAAAAACATTTTTTTTTGTGGAGTCTGAGTAAACAACAAGTTATATGAGAATTTCTTTGCTTCCCTTTGCTTCAAGAGGAAAGTCCCTTAAGGATTGCAACGCAAAAATCAAAATTATCTTGATATAATAGCGCATAATTAGCGCATAAATCCTGCATATTTGTTTTTCGAAATTATTTGTTATTAATGGGTGGGGTGGAGGGGCTTGCTGACTGTCCACTCAGCCCCCACAATAAAATTTTTTTTTGCTAAAAAGGCGCGAAAATTTTTTTTATGCATTTGGTAAGCGCATAATTATATAATTTTTTTATTAAATTTGCGCTATGTGGGGGGGGGGGGCTAGCTAGGCAGATGTGAAGATGAAGCTTCAATAAAGATTTTATTAAAACCTACTGTGCTACCTTAGCTCCTACATAAAAAGGATTTACCTCAATCATCAAAATATCGAGAGCATTTTTAGCTTCAAAGTAGCATTAGCTTCAAAGTAGCATTAATTTATAGAATTAAAGATTTAAAGGAGGAGTAAACACACTTGTTTAAAAGATAATCCTCCTTTAAAAATTCCTGTATAAATATCTATCTCCAATCATCTAGCTAGAACTATTTCGCGGCTTATATTCAGGGATGCCACCTCTCCGGTTTTGATCTGGAATCTCCGAGCGAAGGAGAAAATCTATGAATCTCCGGCCGAAAGAGAAAATCTCCGGGCTGCTGGAATATTTAATTTTTTTTTAATGGTTTTTTTCTCTTGCTACGAAAGTTGAGGGTTAAGAGTTGCAAATATAATAGCGGTAAATGTGGCAAAACAATAAGGCGTTTTTGGTTTTATAATTATTCCCATTGTGTTTTATTATTGTAAATTATCTCCTTTAAAATCGTAATTTAAATTTTCAATAAACAATATCTATTTCTTTATTTAAAGTAAAAAGAAGAAAATATCTTGTATTATTTTTACATTTGCCTAGTTATCGATAGCTCTTTTTTATACAAATTAATTATCTTTCTTATTAATGCACTTTTTTAATTTCAAAGAAGAATATTAATAAATATATTTATATGAGCATCTCCTATTCACTCTTTGAACTCTTCTAATTAATTATATATATTTTGATAGACAATATAAAATAATATTATTTCATATTTTTTTGTTATTCCAAGCAATAAATAATTATGATTAATACATTATATTCTTGTAATATTTTTATAGAATCTTTTCCAAATAACTTAATTTTAGAAATTGATTACTATATCGGAAAATTAATTATCATGTTAGGCAACATCTAAAAGATTTAAATTAAAGAAAAATATTTAATATTATATTTACTAAAATTAATTTTGTATAAGGCTGTGATTCAATTATTTATAAAAAAATGGAATTTTTTGTTTAATTTAAAAAATAATTTTAATTATGAAAATGTTTTGGATGTGTCAACTTGTTTTAATGTAATTATTAACGAAGATAAATTATATAATAAAATACACGTTGTAAAAAATCTATTACTTTCTATAAATAATGATAATGATATATTAGATGAAAAATGGAGAAAAATCTTTGCAAATGATGAAAATAATAATTTGAGCGAGTTACTGAAAATAATACAATATATATTAGGGATACTAATGAACAATAGTTATGTGGAAGAAATTTTTTCATTAATGAATAATGTATAAAGCGATGAACAAAACCGCTTGAAAGTGAAGTAAATAAGAGCCGAAATTTGCACAAAAATGGATTATAATATGAATTGCAAAGAATTTTATAAGTATATTACCAAGTCTGAAGAAATAGAATTACTAAAGAGCGTATTAAATAATAAGAAGTACAATTTTAAAGTAATGAAGCAAGTATAAAAGTATTTTGTATGCCGCAGTCCTAATGATATCGTGTTTTGAATTTTTGTTCTATAAACAGCGGGTTTATTAGTGCAATGTGAAATGTATAATATAGCGCTGAAAAAAGTTTAGATTATGAATAAGTACAGTAAGCACGAAGAAGGAGAAAGTGCAATATATAATAGATAGCAGAAATAAACGAAATTTGTTGTACTGCAGCATATCACTCTGCCTCTCCCCCCCCCCCTTCCTCACTCTTTCTCTTCTTTTTTTTGTTTTTTTATATTTTTAGTCGATCTCCGGACAAACGGAGATTCCGAGGTGGCAACCCTGCTTATATTCGTATGTTGAGATACATACGTAGGTTCGTCGAGTTCGTCCTACGCTCGATTGTGGCGACCCGAGATCCGCCCAAGATAGTTAAGAAAAACGAGAATTCACTGTGCATGCTATGTATTTCACAACAAATCATATGAAGAAGCAGTCTCACGATCGCTTCTTCGTGTCAATAGAGCTTCTTCGTTGCGGTGATGCGATCAAATTAACTTCATCTCTCTCTTCCGTAAAGAAAAATATAAAATCCTGCCTAAATAGGTACGCAAGTTCATCAGATTTAATTGATTCATGCAGATATAAGCGGAATGACCCAATCTACTGTAAAGTTCTTATTTCATTATTAGGAATAGAAAGCAGACCGATTATTCAAGAATTTTAAATATTTTCATGTGCGAAAAGGATTCTTGTCTTTAACAGATCGAATTTTTATCGCATGCTATGCGCAATTGACGCGGGATTTATGCGACGTGTTCCAATCTCAGCCTTACATTGCATCATTGACCTTCACACGTATGATTAAACTGTTAGATAAGAGAGAACGTGCGCCACACGTAGGATAAAGTAACTCATAAAGAGAAATATATATTCTTTTTGTATATATTTCAAAGGAGAATCTATGTGAAAAAATGTTTCAGAAACGTATCCTGCAACATTAAGAAAATTTCATACATTGTTTTCTATTTAACCCTACTTGTGCAATATACACGAATATAAATGATAGATTTGAGATTAAAAAGAAAAAGGGCGAAACCAAATCACGAAAAAGATACAAATGTCAATATGAGACATTTGAGACAAATATTAAACATGAAATAGTCGTCTATTTTTCCAAGAGTTGATGCTAATAAATTTGATATTATAAATGTTCACAAAATTGCAGTGCATTATCTATAAAGATATCCGAAAAAAGATCTTGCACAGAACTGCATAAATATACAATTAATTTTCATTTTTCTTTTTACGAGATAAATGACAATGGTCAAACTTAAACCAACAGCATCGATGATACAATTCCATCAATAAAATTTTCAAAATCTTTTTCATATTGCACTCCATATTGCTGTACTGATTAACGATCAATTAATTATCGAGAGAAGCGCGTTTATGCGAAACATCTGAACGAAGAGGCGTGGTGACATTGGTCACATCGAGTTGATTGACATATGTATATGTTGCTCGAGACGGCCGCTTTCTCGGGGAAAGGAAGCTCTCCTCGAGGGGATTCGTACCATCTTGTTGGGAAATAGTGTCCCTCCAGAACGAGCGCGGTTTGCCTTTCCCTTCTACGAGAAAGAGGAATTCCTGTCTCGAAACGAGCTAACGCTATCCGCCGACGACTATAATGTCGAAGATGTCGAAGACGTTCGGACGACTTCGGAGTGTTCGGAGTGACAGCAAGAGACTTACCGCCTGCGGCAGAAACGTGCGCGCGAAAACGAGGTTGTCCTTGAGTCGCCACGAGGAGTCGTTGTCGCCTTGGTAACGATGACGATGACGTTGACGGCGCTCGTTCCGAGCACTCTGCCACGGAAAAAGCCATCACCGCACTGTGGCCATGTGCCACAGACCGAGATTCAAGATACTGAGCTGCGGCAGGTCCATGATCCGACCTAGGCCGCTAGTGGTAATCTTGGTGCAGCCGTATAGATCGATGTACTTGAGGTTCTTCATGCTCTCGGCGATGATGTATAGGCCTCGATCGGTGAGCCGGCTGCACTGGCCGATGTTGAGGGTCTCGAGGTCGTGCAAGGTCTTGGCGATCTTGCAGATACCCTCGTCGCTGATCTGGCAGGCGGACAGCGATAAAGTTTTGAGGTTGAATAGACCTTGAGAGATGTGCACGAGGGCCTGATCGCCGATCTTGTCGCAGAAGGACACGTCGAGCGAGGTGATGCGACTACTGCCCTCGGCCAGATACGCCATACCGATATCGGAAATATTGTCGCACGAGCGCAAGTTGAGCTCGCGCAGACTCTGCATTCTAGCCAAATGCTTGACGCCGGAGTCGGTTATACATACGCAAAAGGACAGGTTGATGGACTTGAGAGTGGTGAGACCGATAGATACATGCCTGAGTGCTTCGTCGCTCAACCGTTGGCAGTCCTGCAAACTCAGATGCTCTAGGGCGAGGTTGCCATCCGCGGTCTCCTGATTCAGACCGGCCAAATGAGCGATACCCAAATCGGAAACATGCCAGCAGCTTCGCAAATCCAACCGCTTGAGCTTTTTGAGACCCCAAGCGATCAGCAACAGGCCAGTGTTGGTGATGTTGCAGCACCCGCCCAGTTCGAGGTGCTCGAGATTCTTTAAATATTGAGCTATCCTGCTGATCGAAGTGTCCGACACTTGCTTACAGAGCGATAGATTGAGCTCGGTGAGATACGGGTATTCCTGGCTGAAGGCGTTCGTGAGACCAGCATCGGTGATATTGTAGCAACCGGACAGGTTAAGCGCTTCGAGATTCGGCACACCCTTGAGCACGTCGCTGATGCCGCGTCGCGATGACAGTACCTGCACCCTCTTAACACCACGTCGCACTAAGCTGGCGAATAACGCCGGCGCTTGTTTCTTCAGATGCAGTCGCGCCTCGACTCCTCGCCAGACCGAGCGATAATAAGCGGCATCGCGCCATGCGGTGCACACTTGCGCGGCGCGTCCCTTGTCGCATACGTCCAGGTAGCTGAAGATGAGCGCGAGGATCTCCGGATAGAGGCAGGACACGTGGGTGCTCGCGACGGGCTGGCCGTGGGTCGCCAATTTGCCGCGCTGGTGCACCTGATGCGGGTGTAGCTGATGGCGCGACGAGATGCCGCCGCCCTGGCCGATCGTGTAGGCGGGCAGATCGCGTAGGCCGCCGCAGCCGGCGTTGCCGTCAGTGCCGTAATGCCTGGCCGCGCCGCCCGAGTTGTGCTGAAGGATCGCCTGGCTCTGCGGCGTCGATATCGCCAGGTGCGGCTGATGCAGGTGATAGAAATGGCCCGGACGATGTAGCAGCGTCGTGCCGCCGCTCGGCGTCAACGGCACCGGAAGTTCCGTCATCAACAGCTGACTTTCCTCCATATCGCCGTCGTCGTCGTCGTCGTCGTCGCCGTCGTCGTCGTCGCCGCCACCACTGCCGTCCCCGCCGCCGCCACCGCCGTCGTCGTCGTCCTCGTCTTCCCCGTCGTCGTGTTGACCGTCTTGCGACCCCGTCGCCGCTGCCGCCGCTGGCACCCGCCGAAGTCTCACGCGCGGCGACTCCGCCGCCGCGGCGATCGTCGACGACGAACGAGCGATCGTCGAGCGCTCGTCGTGTCCTTGCCCGTCGCGATGATTATTCTCCTCTATCTTGAAATCTTACTTCGTCTTTTTCGTACCCGTTCCCACTTCTCTTTTCGCGCTCCACTTTCTCCCGCCCGATCTCTAATCTCTAATCTTTGTCGCTTTTAGGTTAGATTAGGTTAGGTTAGGTTAGGTTATGTGCGCCGAACTCGTAGGCGGAGTCGCATAACAAAAAAGCGACTTTTCCTTTATCTCGCGTACGACTCTACGCGGCACAATTTCTCTAGGCACACGTATTTATCCGACACGATGAATGTCACGCGCGCGCGATAATCTCTCCTTTTCTCTCTCTTTCTCGCTATTGATCGCGGCTATCGATCGTCGCGACAGTCGCCGCGATATCACCGCGTCGACACGAATCGGCGACGCGGGGCGCTCGATTTACGACGTGATCGAACGAAGAGGGAAGGGGGGGGGTCTGGGGAGGGAGAGGAAAATTTATCTCGCGAGATCGTCGGAAAGTGGAGAGATAACAACGCGGGAGAGTGCGGACACGCGACTTCGATTATCGCCGAGAGAGTTACTTTTCACCAAAGTATCACCACTCTCTCTCTCTCTCTCTCTCTCTCTTTTGCACAGCATTAACCAAAACGCACTACCTATATATCGCGTTATAGCCACCGTCTGGAACTCTTCTCCGTTCCTTCTTCTTCGTCCTCGTCGCCTCTCTCAGTCCCACTCGCGTCGCACCAAGAGAGAGCGTCTCTCTCCCTCTCACCGACTATATCTATCTCGCTCCGTCGCTCTCTCTCTCTCCCTTTCCCTCTCACACCCGCCCGCTACGACGCGCCTCTTTGCACTCACCCGCGCACTCCATCCTCGTCGCGCGCATCGTAGTCACTTCCTTCTCAGTCCCACTCGCGTCGCACCAAGAGAGAGCGTCTCTCTCTCTCTCTCACCGACTATATCTATCTCGCTCCGTCGCTCTCTCTCTCTCCCTTTCCCTCTCACACCCGCCCGCTACGACGCGCCTCTTTGCACTCACCCGCGCACTCCATCCTCGTCGCGCGCATCGTAGTCACTTCCTCTATCCTCTCGCTCTGTCCCGTGGGCCGCGACGACTGGCTGACTCTTTTTGCACGCGAGACGACGACCACTACGACGACGTACACGGGTGTATATATATATATATATACGCAGGGTCGCTTACGCGCGCTTCTTCTTCCGGCGGACGATATGGCACCACCACACATGCACGGGGGAGAAGAAAGAGAGAGAGAGAGAGAGAGGCATATACACGGTGCGCACCACCGTGTAGCATCCCTCTTCCTCTCCTCTCTCTCCTTGCTTCTCTTCCACACCCTCCCCTCCCCCCTTCCTCTTCACCTACGGGCCACATTGCGCGTGAGAAACTATCGCGTTCGCTTCCCCCGTCCCCCTCTCCAGAATAACGCCGATTCGCGTTGCACGATATATCAAATAAACACTGAATTCTCTTCGTTGTCTCTCCCTTTTTTCTGTTTTTCTTTTCGTTCTTTGCTCCCCCCCTCCTCCGTCCCCCCGTTTTTTTTTTTGCGCGCGACGAGACATATAACGCACGCACGCAAGACATATGACTGCGGTCGGGAAGACGCTAGAAATGCTTCGAAGCATTGCATTAACCAATCAGAATAAATAAATCTTTACTCTTTTTGTCCTAATTGGTCAATCAAACGCTTCGAAGCATTTCTAGCGTCTTCGCGATCGCAGCCTATATTGTAATATCGGTCTTTGTCGCTGGAAATAGTTTCCGAAAATTCAGATGAGGGGCCGGGAGACGGCGAGATAATCTCATCGTCTATTTTTTGCGTTCATATATATCTTTGATCAACGCATCGATCATCCCCGTTGTTCGATCTCGACTCGGTTCTCTCCTCAATATGTACTCCATAAATAATAATAATACATGTATAATACTCCGTTATGATAACGCTCTTTTTTCAGATCTTGCGAAAGGAATAAATACATCGGGAAAAACAAACATTTCGAATATGCGAAAAACGACTGTGTGCGACTGTTTTTACACAATTAAATTTTTGAAAATTTTCTGCTTGTCAAGAATGCAAAATGAACTCTGTAAAAAGAGTTTAATCGTAAGGCAATTTATGACACGATGTGTAATTTCTGTGACAAAATGGAGAGGGGCTTAGTAATGTTAGTAATTATATACAGATTTTGATAAATGGATAAGCATGTGTAACAAGATTATATATACATATATATATACATATGATTTTTATACTGATTAGATACATATGATTTAAATAATTATATATAATATTTGATATATAATATTTGATATATAATATTTAATGTACATATAATAATTATATAATATTTGATATTTACAATTTTAATACATTATAAAGTACGGATTTCTTTAAAGATCTTTGCTCACGTTTACTGACACAAATGGAATATTTAAGCAGCGCGATTCAACTTGTGAAACGATTTGCACGCTAATTAATGAAATTGCAGGATCGTGCTGCACATTGGAGACGTCAGTGGTGCGTTTCGATCGATCCAAAACACATATATGTATCCTGAAGAAATTGTACACGCATATTTGTATAGATATATACATCTCGTTGAAATTTATATGTCGATAATCTTTCCTCTAGTGCATAATATAAATAATGTTCAAGCAATTAAGTATAAGCACACAGTGTGTATAATTTCATCGACTGCGATAAGTTGTAGAAAAAAATCGGATATACAAAACGCATGTAAAAAACGAGACGATAATAAAAATGTTATCATACGAAGTCTATCATTAACGAATAAAAACGTATATAAGATTTACGTCTAATTATATTCTGTATTGATAAAACGGCTCTTCAAAATTATATATATATATATATATATATATATTTTGATAATATTAAAAATTAGATATATACGGAGAGACTACGTCATAACGGAAAACTTGGCTAAATTGAAATCAAATTTTAAATTCACTGGAGAGAGATATGTGGTAAGCGCGTGATGCCAGGTACGCCCTGTATGTGACGGCACGCATCGATCCACTGATATATAGATTGAATATATGATTCTTCGCGTTTAAGTTCTCCGCGTCCTAAATTCCACGCTTCAGGGCTTTTCTTCCGCGGCGGCGCTTATCTTACGCGCCATCGAAGTACCTCTTATAATTTTCACATGACGTTAAAGCCGCCGCTATATAGATATATTACATTCGTTTTAAAAAAAATTATATATATTTTCATAAGTTAGAAATAATTTGCATATGACATTAGGAATCAATACATGCACACAAAGCTCTCGTGAAAATATCCCTTTGGCCTTTCTCTTCTCTCGAGCATATCCGTTGCTATTATTAACCAGTAGCGTTTCCTTTTGTTTTTACACATATTTGAGATTATTTAAAGAAAACATATTCAATTTGGAGCAGTTTTCCAACTCAATAGAGATATAGGAGTGAAAAAAGCAATACTTATATTTAATACATACATGTAGATTCCTATTTATTTATAATCGTAGTATGTATAATAATATTACAACGTCGTAACTGTACAATAGTAAACAAGATGAATATGCTCGATTGAAATACTTCATGAATAATATGCCACTAAAACTGGCAAGTAGATAATATGTACACATTTTGTAGGATGCCGCTTTATTGCCTCTAAGGGAGATATGTAATTGATACTAAAGGAAAGAAAAAAAAAGAAGAAGAGAGAAACAATGGCTAATGATATTAATTACAATAATTATAATGGGGGAAGGGAAGAGGGGGGGGGGGAGGTAGTAGGTACATGCAGCAGTATTACACAGTGGCAGCTGGCGACATTATCTTAACTATTATCACAGATTAATACAGACAGCTTCTGTCATAGCTGGACATGACCGATCATCATTCGTATTTTATCGTCTTGCTATCTACCCTTCTGCAATAAATATTTAACTGTGTGTATATGGGCGTGTGTGTATGTTCGCCGCAAATGCATGGACAATTTAAAGTACTTTTCTGCGATATCTCTCTCCGAGTATATATAAATTTCGGACGCATAGATATAAACTTTTTCTTTTTCTCGTTATAGAGCCGCTATTATGCATATAGACATACATTAGACCGTATATAAAATTAAAAAGTGACGTATATATATATAATACTGTTTAATATTTTATTGATGCGCCCAACTAAATACTGCGTATTCTGATATCTCGAAAGTATATAATAAAGAGCATATATATCTTTTACTGGAGAAAATTTATCACTTTCAATAATCAGAGAAAATCGCATCTGTAATTTCATTAGATATGAAAGTCGGAAGAGAAAATTATAAATTATGCTCACTGTGTAAATTTCGTAAATCAAATCGCGATTGGTTTTCAATTTGTTACGACAGTCTTTTGAATACAGTAGGAAGTATATCAAATTTCATATGACCAAGCAGTTTTTTAATAATTTTTAAACAGTATGCAGTCTTTTTTGTATATCAATCAATTAATACATTCAATTGTGCCTTAATGTCTGATCGTATCTTTTAGAGTGCACTGAAAGCGTCATCAAACTATATATATACAGGATCCTTAATTTTACTAAAACGTTCTATGCAAATTATTTGGATTAGCTAATAATATCCGTTGCTCGTTTGTTCAAGAAACTTTAATCCTACTCACTTTAAATACAATTTATTTAAAATATGGTAACTCATAGTCGAAAATGCAGCAAAATTCTATGCAATGACCAAAATGGCTTTGGAAAAATTAGCGAAAGATGTATTTTGTGAAGGAGCGTTCATTAGTTACGTTTTATTTAACAATTACGTGATACGAAACGCGCGTATGTTTATGTGACAATAATTTTTAATATTTGCATGTGTATATGTATGATAAGTTACTTTCATAATTGTTACAAATGAATAGGCCTTTGTTCTTAAACGCAGCACATGAAAGCCGAAAGGAATGTCACATAGACAATCGTTTTTACTAAATAAGCCCTATGCGCTCGCTCGATATTCTGACTCGACATTTAAATACGATATCTACTAACATCAAAAGTGTATACCATCTTTTTTTTAGTTAGCATACAATCTTAGGTATCATAATTGGAATACAAAACTCACAAAAAAGTTGGTGTTAGAAAATATCAGGGTTTCCAGCGTCTCATGTCCGCTAGTGATACTAACACATGCTCTCTGTTTTATTCTGTCCTAATTATCGTATCAAATAATATTTTGTGAATAGGGAGTAGCATGCTTATACAACGCTCGCTAACAACATTTTTTCCTATGCTGTTTTGTGCTTTTCCTCAGATTAACTGTCTCGTTGGTTTGTATGGCTTGCCGCTCCTTGCGCTCTTTTTTGGTCCGCAACACTTGCCGCGTTATTGCCATGAACATCTACAAATAACACATTGTAAATTTCTTAGTAAAATATGAATCGTCTACAAATTTATTAACAAATATCTTTTTAAACTTTGACGTATAATTACTCTTGTTTATAATTAATATAACAATAGCAATAATTAAATAGAGCTTAAAGTTTGACCTATTAAAATTATATAACAAATGAAGAGAAATTAGAGTGACGTACTTCCTCGACATTAATGTTGTCCTTGGCAGAGGTTTCAAACAACTGTATTCCCATTTGATTGGCGAATCTTTGTGCATCCTCCGTTAACACCACTTTCTGATTAGGTGCGTCATTCTTATTTCCTACGAGTACCCTGTTAACCACATCACAATTCTGTTCGATTTCATGCAACCATCGCTTAACGTTCGCAAATGTATCACCGCTGGTCACATCATATACAACTATAACGCCGTGTGTTCCCCTGTAGTAAGTTGAAGTTATTGTCCGGAAACGTTCTTGCCCAGCGGTATCCCAAATTTGCAGCTTTACTCGCTCACCATCTATCTCCACGGTTTGTATTTTAAAATCCACTCCTATCGTAGTTATATAACTGCCGTTGAAAGTATTGTCGGCGAATCTCAGAAGTAGCGAGCTTTTACCTACACCTTAAAGACAAAAGGGAATATATATCAGAAGGGAATCTTTACATGTACATTAAAAAAATATTTATAAAAATAATTTTCAAAAAAATATACAAAAATGTACACTTTTTTTTTAAACAAACATTAGTGCCATGACAAATATATATTTCCACATTATTCTATAAAATATTTTTATAAAATATATTTTTTGTATATAATTATATTTAAAGTAAAAAAAAATATATATATAAATATAAATCTTTTATTATATTCATAAACTAATATTAATAACAAAAAAATAATTGATTATGGGAAATGAATAAGTGATAAAAAGTTCGCTGATAAGTATCCCTTTATCACTTCATTATCTTATGATTTCTTTCCTTTTACATTGCAATGTGCGTAATCTCCTACCACTGGCTCTAAATCTGCCGTACAGGAAGGACAATTTTCACATCATGAAATCTATCTAAGCTATGCCAACAGTGCAGCGGATAGTCAATGTATACATGTCATCAGACTCATCATTTAATAAACTGGCACTAGTGGTAATGATAGGCGATTATCAACGAGCATCACACAACACTTGACGCATAAAGACTGCGCGATCCGTCATTTCTCTCTCTCTCTCTCTCTCTCTCTCTCTCTCTCTCTCTCTCTCTCTCTTTCTCGGACAGAGAGGAGAGAGAGAGAAGAGAGAAAAAAATACGCGACTGCGGGAGATTTCTTTAATTGCGCGTTTCTCTACACACGTTACAGTATGGTGATGCTGCGTATATTTAATATTTACCACTGTCTCCAATGATAAGCAGCTTGAACAGATGATCGTATTCCCGGGCCATTTTTATCCGGTCTTCTTGATGATGCCGCGGGAAAAAATGACGAGAATGATCCTTATGATGATGCGAAACTCCCGACGTTTTCCACGGGCGGGCGTGTGCGTCCACGATGACCAAACGAGACGAGAACGTTGTATACCTACCTACCTACCTTACCCCCGCACGATCTTGAGCAGCGAGACTCGCGAATCGGAAGACGACTGCGATATCAAATGATCGCCATGTTTATACGCCGTGGTATCACCATTCATTATCATCACGACGGGAAAAAAAGGCTCTGCGCTCTCCCTCGTTCAACGCGACGCCCATCCCATATCAAATTGTCACCAGCCTGTCACCGCCGCCATGTTCTTGATCTCTCGCGTTGGCGTTTTCAACGATCCCGGCGTTTGATCACTCCTCAAGTCCGATATTCAATTGCGATCGATCGCGTTAAGCCCAAATCACACTAGCGGCTCGCGACTGCGATTGCAATTGCCTCAGCCAATCAGAAACCACCAATTGCAAGTATGATTGGAGCGTAGCAAATCACAATCACAAACGTAATCGCAATCGCAGCCGCGAGCCGCTAGTGCGATTCGGGCTTAACGTGTCTGAACACGACAGTACTCGACCAAGGCCGCTCGTACCGCTTGATACGTATCATATACGTATGCACGCACATACACATTGTCTCTCAAGGCGTATTTGCACACTCAAGCGAATAATCGTACATGAGCGCTACAAACGCGCCTTGAGGGACAAACTCGTTTTGCATGTGTGCGTGCGAGCATACGTACGTGAGAGTCTGAAACTGAAACTGAACCTTATTATGATAATGATGGAAAACGAAAAATGTCACTTTTCTGGTATACGATTATCATTCCTCAGGATTGACTGCACCAATCTTATTCAAACTGGTCGCAATCGAAAGCTTGCATCCACATTGTATAAGAAAAGTGCCGTTAGATTTTTGATTAACGGCTTGGTTCCTGAGGAATTTTAATCGAAAGTTTATTAGACGTAAAACTCCGGATAAGCTACTTGGAGCGTCGCGGCCCCTGTACATAGGCAAACCGTTGACAAGCTGGAACGAATTTTTATATATACTTGGCGTCGCGACCTACCGCGTCGCTTGATCCTGACCAGATTGATCATACATGTTATATTTATAATGTCGATTATATAGATTATACGAATCATCACGTGAATTATTGTACTTCTTTCTATATTTCAGATTATTGTTATCCAAGTTTAGTGCCAATAAGTTAACTTGTTTTCTATTAAAAACCAAAGAACTGAGCAAATTATCGTGAAAATCAAGAAAGTGTAAACTATTTGGCAACAACTTTACAAATCTGGTACTTTTTATTTTGTTGCCGGAAAGATCTAGGATTTTCAGTTTTGGGAGTGGAGTCTCGTCTAGAGAAGTTCGCAAATCATTGATATAATTTCTACGGACAGACAAGATTTCTAAATTAGGATAGCCTTCAGAAATGTCCGATATCCGCCAGTGGCAATAATGGTACTCATCAACAAATGATGCATTATTTAGAATAAGGATCTTTAATTTTTCGTGACCTCCAAAGTCGAAGAGTTTATTCCAATTGATTTCGTTATTAAAAAGAATTGATTGAGTCAAATTAGAAAGGTTGTTAAAGGCGCCCTTTTCGATGCTCTAGAGGTGAATGTTCGTGAAATAGAGGCAAGAAATCCAGGGCTACTGATAAAATCCTGATCAATAGAGATGATCGTTGCGTTAGCAAAAGTAAAGGAAATTATTTCATTTTCGCACAGATGTTCGAACTCATTCACATAGTTAGGAAATTCAAATTCAAATGTAAACCAAGTCGTTCTTACTAATTGTAAGCTTATTTCTAAAAGATAATATAATAGATAAAGATAAGTTATGGCAATTAAATATAATTTTTCTATATTAATCTGTCTGCACTTTAATAGATTGGAATTTGACTAATCAGAACAAAAGGGACTAAAATTTCTTTATCCTGATTGGTCAAATTTCAATCTTGAATCTTGAATCTCAATCTTCAATGCGTAGTCTGATACGGGCTTTAGTGTGATTCAGGCTTTATGCGATTGGTAGATTTCTGATGCTGGTTACATAAAATTTGAATCCGTGAACGGACCTTTAGAAGGAAGTAGAGATGTAAAGGTGCCTTTAAAAAAAACAAATCTCGTTTTTTTTCAAAATTTTATTTTTTTTCAGATATTTAATATCTTTATATTTTGATTACTGCAAATTGATTTTTCATTATTTTTAACTTTTTAGATTTTAGATGATAAATTTGAATTAACCATTATTATTTTAGGCTGTATTCCGATTCCTCACCCGGGTGCACCCGATATCAAGAGACACGGTAGTATCTCGCGCCAAGTCACGCAAAGCAAAGACCGCGCGTAACAAGAGCGAGGCACTCCGGGTATCTATACGCGAGTCGGATAGTTGAAAGTACCTTAGATTACCAGATCTGAATAACGGCTAAACCGATCGAATTCTTGATAGGCATAGGGTGCAAACCCATGGCAGCGGAAAAGCGTAACGCGGAACGAGAGCATGACCAATCGCGAGCGTTCTGCAATTTTCGCTACGCTCAATTGGTCCGCTCTTGTTCCGCGTTACGCTTTTCCGCTGCCATGAGTTTGCACCCTCAGGCCGGATTCACACCTTGGTAGAAAAGCAGAGGCCAATCAGAACTCGCGCTAAAAAAGCAGAATGTTTTCTAGCACGAGTTCTGATTGGTTTCTGCTTTTCTGCTTTCTGCTTTTCTGCCAAGGTGTGAATCATTGCGCAGGAATCTGAATGAGATAGATTCCAGCTTCTTGCGGCTAATAGCGTGATGAGTGATATGAATTCGGTCGAGATAAAAAAAATTATGTTCTGATACACATTACTAATACTGAAAATTGATATTTATTTACATTATACACAATAGATATTATTATTATTAAACAAAATATGTATAAAACGTTACTATCCCCCAGCAAAATATTAAAATCTAATCAACCCATACAGCACAGAACGTTGCAGCAACATTGCAGCAACATTATAACATTGCCGCAATGTTACTACAATGTTGCAATGTTGCTGCAACGTTCTGTGCTGTATGGGAAGGATTATGGGATATAATTTTCATTTTTTTTCCTGCATGTTTATAACATACTGCTCCTTTAAATCATTTCCTACTTTTAACAATAGTTTTTCAAACTGTGTCGTTTTGTCATTTGTGAATCCCTTTTTGTGTCTTATTTATTTGAATATTTCAACCATCCAAAATCTTTTGCCGCATTTGTATTTTAATTTAATTTTAATTTACATTGCCAGAGTAGTAACGTTTCATAATATATCTTTGATTAATAATAACACACACACACACATCTGTTATATAATAAAATAAATGAAATATAATTCTGGGCAACAATATTCTGCGCAGACGCTTAAAGGTGCCATTACATGGCAGCATAGAGCATCGATCGTCTGCGCAGAAATCATTGCGCAGGAATCTAAATGAGATAGATTCCAGCTTCTTGCGGCTAAGAGCATTATGAGTGATATGAATTCGGTCGAGATAAAAAAATTATGTTCTGATACACATTACTAATACTGAAAATTGATATTTATTTACATTATACACAATAGATATTATTATTATTAAACAAAAAATATATAAAACGTTACTATCCCCCAGCACAATATTAGAATCTAATCAAGGATTAAGGGATATAATTTTCATTTTATTTTTCCTGCATGTTTATAACATACTGCTCCTTTAAATCATTTCCTACTTTTAACAATAGTTTTTCAAACTGTGTCGTTTTGTCATTTGTGAATTCCTTTTTGTGTCTAATTTATTTGAATATTTCAACCATCCAAAATCTTTTGCCGCATTTGAATTTGAATTTTATTTTAATTTAAATTGCCAGAGTAGTAACGTTTCATAATATATCTTTGATTAATAATAATAATAACACACACACACACACACACACACACACACACACACACACACACACACACACACACACACACACACACACACACACACACACACACACACACACACACACACACACACACACACACACACACACACACACACACACACACACACACACACACACACACACACACACACACACACACACACACACACACACACACACACACACACACACACACACACACACACACACACACACACACACACACACACACACACACACACACACACACACACACACACACACACACACACACACACACACACACACACACACACACACACACACACACACACACACACACACACACACACACACACACACACACACACACACACACACACACACACACACACACACACACACACACACACACACACACACACACACACACACACACACACACACACACACACACACACACACACACACACACACACACACACACACACACACACACACACACACACACACACACACACACACACACACACACACACACACACACACACACACACACACACACACACACACACACACACACACACACACACACACACACACACACACACACACACATCTGTTATATAATAAAATAAATGAAATATAATTCTGGGCAACAATATTCTGCGCAGACGCTTAACGCTCGACGCTTGACGCTGCCATGTAAAGGAACCTTAACGCTCGACGCTGCCATGTAAAGGCACCTTAACAGTTTTGTATGGTTTTGTATCGGATAAGTGTACTGGTTGAAGACACTTCGATTAACAAAAAAGAAAAAAAGATTAAAAACTAACAAATTATGAGAGAGATTTATGGTACACATATCTGTATTAATAATGTAATGAAAATTTTGTACGTCAAAGATAAAGAAGAGTACGATAAAATCTTAACAATATGAGAGAATTATTTTTACAACATTGTATATGACTGAAATATTTACACAGGAGATAAAATCAAGCTTCAAATGTCGCGTGTATTCCATGTAGACATTACAGTTTAATGTCACAGGGAAGATTGGAATATTTTGTAGTGTATGTGAGATTTACAGCATATATATACATTTTACAATATTTGTTAAAACATACAAGATGGCATTCTCGGCACGTATCTCGCATAAAAGCAACAGAATCTCGTACCATTACCACAATATCTTTATGATATGTTTGTTAGTATTTACACTGTTCATTGTGTTGATCTCAGTGTACCATATTTTCAAATTTGGCAATACGCAGAAACATTCTGAACATATTCCTATAACGCTGAATGACATAAATGCTTTACCCATTCAAATGTTATCTGCCAACTTGGCTGTGAGCGATGCCACCAATTCTTCCTGCACATATTTCACTTGTTTCAATGTATATCGATGCGGCAGTCGAGGAAATAAACTTCTGGTATATGTCTATCCACCCAAGATATACTTAGATTCTGTGGGTAGACCAGTAACGAACCAGATGACAAGAGAATTTTATCAAATTCTAAATGCTATTATTAACAGTAAATTTTATACATCAAATCCATATGAAGCTTGTATTTTTGTTCCCTCCATTGACACTCTCAATCAGAATAGATTAAGATTGCAAGAGGTCTCTCGAGCATTAAGATCATTGCCCTTGTGAGTTTTATTTTAATACATTCATTAACTTCTAATAGTTTACACTTTCTATTAATATAATTTTTTTACCGTGTATGTAGCTGGAACAGAGGAGAGAATCATCTAATTTTCAACATGGTGCCTGGAAGTGTACCAGACTATAACACTGTCATCAATGTACCAGTTGGAAGAGCAATGATTGCAGGCGCTGGAATGTCATCTTTGACGTACAGGCCTGGCTTTGATATTAGTTTACCAGTCTATAGTCCACTAATAAATAATCTCAAGACAAATTACAGTAATGGGAGGTAATTATATATATACAGGGTGTCCCAGACCACCCATACACCCCTTTTTAAATGAAAATAAATGGTTTTTATCAAAAATCGCGAACATTTTTTAAGTAAATCGGGTATGCTCTATCGAATGGTGATATTTTCAACTTTTGATTCCAACCGGAAATACGTCATCCGGACCGAAAGCTGAATTTTTTGAGGGAAACATAGTACTTTTTATTACAGATTCGAATTGTACGTGAAAAAATAAGAAACTTTTGATCAAACGTTTTTTCCGAAAGTGCCTCTGTCAACCTTAAAATTGATCTTGAAAATAACTGTGATGAAATTATGAACCGGTCCGATGGCGTATTTCCGGTCGGAATCAAAAGTTGAAAATATCACCATTCGATAGAGCATATCCGATTTACTTAAAAAATGTTCGCGATTTTTGATAAAAGCCATTTATTTTCATTTTAAAAGGGGTGTACGGGTGGTCTGGGACACCCTGTATATATATATACTGATTTTTATAACGTGTGTATATAATACATTTGTTATATGAATTATTTTGTATTCCAGAACATGGTTAGTGATATCTTCACAAATCAATATTAATACCGCTTTTGAACAAGATTTAATGGAAGTAAAAACGACATATCCAAAGGACATTCTAGTATTAGGTCCATGTTTACATTTTAATCCCATGAATAATACAATACGTTGTGTCAGGAAGGGCATATACAAGTATCCTGATGTTCTGCAAGTAATATACATTTATGATTACCACAACAATTTTTTTATTCAATATATAAACAACGAAGATCTTTTATACTTTCTCAGTCGGCAACATTTTGTCTAATAATCCGCGGCGCTAGGCTTGCCCAAAGCACACTTTTGGATGCAATGGCAACTGGATGTATACCTGTGATTATAGCCGATTCTCTAACTATGCCATTTCATGATGTAATCGATTGGACTAAGTAAGCAATAACGTAAATTAAAGTCTGTAGTATTGTTGTGTGTGATATATAGTTATATTTATGAATTAATTTTTATTTCTCTTCTTTTGTGTTACTCTCAGAGCTACTGTTTTTGTACGCGAAGTTGACATTTTATTAATAATACAACTGCTAAAAAAGATATCCCACCAACGCATCATGGAGATGCAAGAACAGAACGCATGGCTCTATGATCGTTATTTCAGTACAATAGAAAAGATCACAGAAACTACATTAGAAGTACTCACGGATCGCGTATTTCCGCATTTGACACGAGATTACACATATTGGAATGTGCCACATTATAAGGTGGATATAATGAAAGAATTATTGTAATAAAACGTCGAATTTTTCGCATGTTAATTCGAATTGTTTCTTTTGCAGGGGAAATCTTCACCGCTCTTTTTACCAGTAACTGCTCCTAAAACACGCGGCTTCACTGCTGTAATATTAACATATGACAGATTGGAGTTGCTGTTCCTATTAATTAATAAACTTGTAAAAGTACCAAGTTTATCAAAAGTTCTGGTAATTTGGAATAATCAGCATAAAGATCCACCGCCTTGTAAGAAATTTTAATTTATCTTGACTGTATGCTTCTAATCTATTTATACATGTGTTATATTTACACATTAATTTTATCACATTCTCTCTATAACTTAATATTATACAGCTACAAGATGGCCTAAAGTGAATAAGCCATTAAAAGTGATCCAAACGAAGGAAAACAAATTATCGAATCGATTTTATCCATACGATGAAATTGAAACTGAAGCAGTATTATCAATAGACGATGACATTATTATGTTAACTGCTGATGAAGTGGAATTCGCTTATGAGGTACACTTGAACGTGAAGCATTTCATATTATATAATCTTTTGAAAAAGATGATATAGCTAATTTTTTAATACTAATAAAATTTATCTTGATTACTTTTAGGTATGGCGGGAATTTCCGGACAGAATCGTTGGATTTCCATCTCGCATACATATGTGGGATAATAGCACTAATTGTTGGAAATATGAGAGCGAATGGACAAACAGCATCTCTATGGTTTTAACAGGAGCAGCTTTCCACCATAAGGTATATATTATAAACACTTGTGTTGGTCTCTCTCTCTTAAAGAATTATGAACCCAATTTTGTTATCCACTTTGTACTAAACATGTTACAGACTACAAAGATATTGTTATAGAAATTCTTGGATTTTATTTCTCCTAGCCAAAACCAAAAAAAAAGTCAATAGATCCTTCCCTGTTCTCATCAGGAATGTACAGAAAAATTAATTTAAGTAAATTATATAATTCCTACATAATTTCTATTAGCATCAAATGTTATACTGTTGTACAAAACTTTATCTGATACGATTTCTTTCAGTATTGGAATTACATGTATACGACAGCCATGCCTGGAGATATAAAAGAATGGGTCGACGAGCACATGAATTGCGAGGACATCGCGATGAATTTTCTAATAGCGAATGTTACTGGAAAAGCTCCGATAAAGGTAAATAAACATCTCTTGGTTCCTCGACACTGACATTTTCCTAAAAAATCGCATAAAACTCTGTGCAGGTAACACCAAAGAAGAAATTTCGGTGTCCCGAATGTACCAACACCGAAATGTTATCCGCGGATTTGACGCATATGGTGGAACGTACACAATGTATAAACAAATTCTCCTCTATTTACGGAACTATGCCGTTAGAATCGGTCGAGTTCCGCGCAGATCCAGTACTCTTCAAGGACGTGTTTCCCGAAAAACTAAAGCGATTCAACGATATAGGCAGTTTGTAATTACAAGTAAGTTTAGTTTGATATACAGGTACAATTTTTATTAAATTAATCACAGAAATCAAGTTATGAAAAATATATAGATTTATCGATCAAAGTATGCAGAATGTTCTCAATTATAATAGATAAAATTATCTAATTTATATGTAATTACTCTTTTAAGAAAAATGAAAGTTTTGATAAAAGTGAAGATTTTGATAATATTATGGCATCTCCATCTGAACCGATCATGAAATTGAATACTCTCTGTATATTGTATATATGTATATACAATTGTAAGATTCAAAGAGGAATATTATATAAGTGAGCAGAGAGAATATGGTGGCATGGGATAGTGTGTAACTCAATGGCAGAGTGTCAGCCAACTGAGAACTAGGCCCTAGAATCTAGAATAGAGTCCTGATAAGGACCCCCTCTGCTCAAGAAATATCTTACAAATTTCAGAAGTGGAATACACCTCAAAAGATCTTGGGTGCTTGATGATATCTCAGGAATAAATCAATGTCGAGTCTTCCATTTATTGAGATATTTACTTATTTCTGAGACCTATACACACAAGATCTTTCAGAATTTTATATATATTATATATTAAATTGTTCGCGTTTTGATGGATAGGGAGTATTTGTTTATAATGTAAATAAGAATTTTTTTTAAACTGTTATCAGGATTCATTGTATTTATATGCATAAGTTAAAAATTTAGGAAAATATATATGTATCTCGCAAAATTGTGACTATGTAAAACGATTCAATCTGGCAGTACTATTATGTGTGAATTTCATGAAAGAAATTGGCGTGAATCCATATAAAAATTTCGTATATAAAGTATTTTAGGCTACGAATTATTTTTACAAAACCTTATTACATCACAGGTAATGTATATAATTTTACTCAGACTCTGCTTCAGATTTTATCTTGAAGCAGACACCTTCGACAATAGCTTTCTTACCTACCTCGTGCGATGGTAAGGCCGACATGTAACTCTACAAAAAAAAAAAAGTGTGCTTTTTAATACATACAAGTAATTTAATTTGATAATAATAATGTTAGAAAAAAAATCAATGCTTAGAAATAAGGATATTCCACATATGTAAATATATATTGTTAAAAAGGTTTAAAATTATACTAAACACAAAGAAAAAAATGGAACATGTACCACTGGTGTATGTTGACATGTATTCATGTAACCTATTATCATGGAATTCGTAGAATGGCTCCAGAGAAAATCGCCCAATCCTTCTTGTGGCGAATAACGTATAGCGATGACACCGCCTAGTTTCTGTTCGAGCCCATAGAGAAATTTCGAATCTAAAGGGGAAACGTGAAAAGATTGTCATTACTTTGATTAATCGCCACGCAATTGTTTATGCTAAACCTGTGATGCACCGATAAAATCTACGTTCATCGCTCGATGGAGACTCGTAGTCGGACAAGAGGTATTAGAAATAGCTTCTGCAACTGTACGCGCTAACGAGGTGCGCACAAGATGTTCCCCGCAACCTGACGTGCTGGCGCCCACTGAATAAGAAGTATCCTTGCAAGCCCAGGCACCACAACCCCATACCCCAGCCTATTTAGGAAATATATAAAATATAGATATAAAAATTTACATACAAGAATTGTATCAAAATTTTAAGAAACTTTGTGGATGTTACTATAAGTTATGTGTGTTTCATGGACAATTTTTTATAGCTGTTATGCCACGCAAGATATATTATAAATTAATATTATACCTGCCCAACTCTTCCAGGATATTTCAGAATTATACCACCACTCGAGCAAGCCGCAGCAATATTTCCATCGCCGTCAACACATATTGCACCTACTGTGTCCATTCTTTTCTTAGCACACTGCAACATAATAATCTCTAATGACAATAAATTTTATTTATAAATCAGTATAAATAACTTTATACCTTTTGAGCTTCTACACTGCAATCTTCCACTTTTCTTTTGTAGTGTTTGTATATTTTTTGAGCTCTCACTAGAATGCAATATTAAAATGTGTAATTAATTGTACACATTGAATAAATAAATAAGAGATGCATTGGCAAAGAGCGGAATTTGCACAACTTACAAATCTCTCAGAAATAAATTTACTAAAATCTAACAAAGATTTCTTATATAAATTATGCATACTTGATATTAATTGTTCCGGTGGTAATGTCTGTATGCCCATCTCATGTGCCCAAATATGTGCACCATTTCCAACTAAAAAGCTAGTATAAGAAATGGAGATATATGAGTGTATACGCGCGCACACGCACACACACACACACACACACACACACACACACACATATATATATATATATATATATATAATCATTATAATACAATTAATAATCTTTTGAGGAGATGAAATGACATTGAGTGTGTACCTAGGTGGGATTCGGCCGTATGCAAATTTAACAGATTGTTGTTCACACAAACGCTTTGCCAATAGAACTGGATTCTTTATTCCACTAACTGCACCAATTGCACCGTACTGTAAACTATTGCCATCCATCACGCTCGCGTCGCATTCTACTGTTCCATTCAAGGTAAGATTTGATCCAAATCCAGCATTTGTCATGGGTGAATCTTCCAGCACCATTACTGTTTCCACCACTGCATCTAATACATTGCCATTGGATGTCAAACTTTGAGCTCCCTTAAGAACATAATTACAAGAGAAACAATTTTTAAGTAATTTAAAAGTTATATGTAGAATATCCCAAGACCTCTAAACACTTTTTTAATAGCAAATTTTATGATCAAAATTTGAAGTAGTTTTCATTAATAAAAATGTCGAGAGAAGTTATCATTTTGTGCAAATTTTCAATTTTTTCTATTATGTATCTTTGTAACAAAGTTGAATTAAAATTCTATTAAAATAAACTAAAATTAAGAATGTAGTTTTTTCAACCTTTTAACATCACAAAATATAATTTATAAAAAAAATCTTTTTCAATTGTTTGTAAACTATTAATATATCTGGATATTTTCATTAAGAAAAAATCATTTCCAAGTTGGCCAGAGAATCTGCTATTAAAAAGATATCAGTTTTGAGATATTTTGTATATAAAAGACTGAATATATATATATATAGAGTTAATTGTCGCTTAAAAATCTTACCACTTTGCATGCTTCGTGACACAACTTTTGATATTTTTCTTTAAGGGATGCAGAGTGCTGCCCAGCACCTGACAAAAAAGAATTACAGCATTGTTAGTAACAATATAAAAAACAATTATAAGTCATGTTTGAATTAATTACATACCCACATGTACAGCAATAAAACCCTGCTTAATGTTACTCATGAGACTAGATTTTGTTTCTTCTAATCAGCGATCTATATTTTTGCTTTGTTTTTACACTCAAGTACAAAACTCTCGTATCTCAGCTGCAAAAATGTCATTGATACAAATATGATGAAAGCAATCAAATTATTTGTTTTATTGTAAATAATACATACATTCGTTACATACATTCATTTATAATAAAAAAAAAAAAAAAAAAACATTTTTAATATAATAAATTTTGGTATTTAATAAATATTTCGCTGCTTCATTTAATTAAAAATTTAATTATAAGTTTATGCAGCAATAAAAGTGAAAAGATTTTTAGATATCCAAAAAAATAGCTATAGTATATTACATATAATTATAATTGTATAATTCTTATAAGAACTTGCATAGTGAATCTCGTATAGATTTTCTCAGACTCAGACTTATTGTTAGATTTGTATCCTGTTGTGAACACATAAGCAAAGACGAAGATAGAAAAAAGACAACATTCCGGTTCCCACCAAAGGCTGTGTTCCGACTCCCTACCCGGGTGCACCCGATATTATAGTATACGTGACATATACTATAATATCGGGTGCACCCGGGTGGGGAATCGGAACCATAGACATATAGAATGGACTAAGTGTTGCGATAGACAAACGCGCGCTCACTGTAGAAAGAGAGATACTACATGGGAGGCCTATTTTGTCTCTTTTCCTAACATCTCATTAAATAAAATCACCAATGAGATGCTAGGAAAAGAGACAAACATAGGCCTCCCATATAGTACCTCTCTTTCTACAGCGGGCGCGCGTTTGTCTATCTCACAATGCTCAATCCAGTCTATATATCTATGATCGGAACACAGCAAAAGTGAAACCTCAAAAAGCTGTTTGGATCCTCCTAAAGCCCATCTCACATTACGCATTAAAAATTGAAAATCTAATCAAAATAAAAAAATTTTAATTTTTTTTGCTGTGATTAGTCAAATTTCAATCTTTAATCTTCAATCTCAAATTTCAATGCGTAGTGTGATACGGGTTTAAGCCCGTATTAGACTATGCATTGGATTGAAATTGACCAATCAGGGCTAAGTTCCAAAACGGGGTAAAATTTACTCTCCGAGGAAAATTTTAGTGCCGGTCTACAATAGGTGATTTAAGCCTTAAGCCTTAGTGTCGGTCTACAATAGTGATTTAAGCTCTAAGCCTTAAGAAATTGACCAATCATGATCAAGTATGAGGAGAATACTCGACTGTGATTAGTCAATTTCTTAAGGCTTAGAGCTTAAATCACTATTGTAGACCGGCACTTAAGAAATTGATCAATCACAATCAAGTATGAGGAGAATACTCGACTGTGATTAGTCGATTCCTTAAGGCTTAGGGCTTAAATCACCTATTGTAGACCGGCACTTACTCGATGGCCAGCCTGGAACCAATCAGAGACGCTCAAAAAAGTTTCGGAACGACCATCGGAATAAAATTTTCCTCGGAGAGTACGTTTTGGAACATAGCCCAGGACAAGGAAATTTTAGTTCCTTTTAGTGCCGGTCTACAATAGGTGATTTAAGCCCTAAGCCTTAAGAAATTGACTAATCACAGTCAAGTATTCTCCTCATACTTGATTGTGACTGGTCAATTTTTTAAGGCTTAAGGCTTAAATCACCTATTGTAGTCCGGCACTTATCCTAATTGTTCAAATTTCAATCTTCAATGCGTAGTTTGATACGGGCTTTAAAGTTCATTTCACGTGACACGTGACAGAAGATTTTAATTGTAACCGTAGATTGGAAATAAATCGACCAAGCAGTGCAGGACTCATATTAACCCGGAAAATTTAAAATATTTATTGAAGAAACAATCGACAAGAAGGACTTAAGAAGCAAATAACGGATGTCCGTATAACAAAATAAATCACAAAGAAAAAAAAACGCGACATACATATTAATAAATTAGATTAAAATAATTAACATACAATAATTTACAAGACGTGAATAATATAATAATATAAATAAAACAAAATTAAAAAATAAAGTGCTGCAACGTCTGCGCTTTATTTTTTAATTTTGTTTTATTTATATTATTATATTATTCGCATCTTGTAAATTATTGTATGTTAATTATTTTAATTTAATTTATTAATATATATGTCACGTTTTTTGTTTTTTCTTTGTGATTAATTTTGTTATATGGACTAGAGTCCTAGATTATCAGAGAGGCACCAACTCTACCCTCACCATAGACATAGTATATCTAGACCGAGCGTTTGCCTTTATTTAAGGAGTGGGGGTAAAGATACACGTAGAAAAAGACATACTCTGTTTCGTGCCCCTTGTGTTCTCTCTCGCTCGCACAGAGCATTTCTCTGATAATCTAGGGCCGGTATTCATAGTCAGTACTTATTTCAAAATCGTCTTAAGTAATGTCTTAAGATGCTAATATGGTTCTGTGATTGGTTTAGGACATCTTAAGATTGTGTTTATGTGCCGGTCTACAATAGGTGATTTAAGCCCTAAGGGTGCCATTACATGGAGCGCGGAAACGCGGATTAGCGTAACGCGGAACGAGAGTGAAACCAATCGCGAGCATTCTGCAGTTTTTGTTACGCTCGCGATTGGTTCCCTTCTCGCTGCATAAACCAGCCTTTAACCGCACTCAGGTCAGTATTAAACTACGCGCTCCAAACATGTGCGTCTGGTAACAAAAAGTTACTATCCACTGAAACGGAGAGAGTGCACATCAATCGAATTCGCCATATCTTGAACTAATTTGAACTAGTGCAGTTTTAGTGCAGCCCTAGGGGCCAATTTCACCAAGTCCGGTTAGATGAACCGACGGTTAAAATTAGCAGGGTGGCCAACAGAAAATAGAGGTGAAGGATATCCAAGTATTCATATCATTTTAGTTGGAACCACATAGACATAGGCCGGTATTCATAGTCCGTTCTTATATTCAAGATCGTCTTAAGTACGATCTTAAGATACTATGCGGCCATTTCATTGGTTGAATGGGATCTTAAGACGACCCAAGACCACACTTAAGACGATCTTGGATATAAGAACGGACTATGAATACCGGCCATAGTATATCTAGACCGAGCGTTTGTCTTTATATAAGGAGTGGGGGTAAAGATACACGTAGAAAAGGACATACTCTGTTTCGTCCCCTTGCGTTCTTTCTCGCTCGCACAGAGCATAGCGCTCTCTTTCGTCATGCTACGTGCGAGCGAGAGAGAACGCAAGGGGCACGAAACAGAGTATGTCCTTTTCTACGTGGACATCGGCCACCACTCCTTAAATAAAGGCAAACGCTCGGTCTAGATATACTATGTCTATGGTCTAGATATACTATGTCTATGGTTGGAACTCTGCTAATTTTAACCGTCGGTTCATCTAATCGGACTTGGTGAAATTGGCCCTAGGTCAGCTAAAAAGAACAAACCATGTGATTGGTCAGTTTGCTTACGATTACGATTGAACTTTTTCTTTCATGCGCATCGGTCTTAATATATGGTGTTAACGTGGTTATAAACGCGATAGAGCCATAGGTCGCTGGTTATGTTCGAGAGACATTTGTCACATTTGTAAAATTAAATATGTGTCGTGGATGATAAATCATAGTCATTTGGGAAACCGATTGAGAGAAGGGAATACCGGCTACAACGTTCGTTCCTCTATTCGCACGTAAACGCATGGAATTAAAGGAGCAACGTTTAAGTAAGTATCGGCCGAAATGGATGCCGCGCATATCGCGTGTAACTCTATATATCTTTACATCAATTATACTCGGTGAGATTTATTTATCTCGTCGATGATAATTTCGCGTGATACGAATGGTGATATGATGATAATTCCTTTTAGGTAAAATATTCGCAAGCTCGATTTTGACAGAAGTCGAACGAAATACGGACCAGTGTTCGCATATTTTTGCCTAATTACAGATATGATGTAAGTATCCTTATTTGAATATAAACGAGAATCTTTGTACAGGATGTTTACGAAATACTTGGACAAACTTCTAGGTGTATTCCTCATATCAAAATATAGAAAAAAGTTTATATAAACTCATAGTCAAATATGAGTGGTTTCGAAGTTAGGATCAGTCGCATGGCCTCTATGTTTCTCAGATTTGAATCCACTGGATTTTTATCTATGAGAACATTTAAAGCATTTAGTGTATTTTTAATCTATTGATAACGAAGAGATGCTTCGCTAATGTATTATTAATGCTTGTGAGACTATATGGGATCATCCGCAAACCTTTGAAATGGTTTGACAATTCTTACTTCGCTGTGTTAATGCCTGTCTTCAAATGGTGGCCATTTTGAGCATTTGATATAATTTAAATATTTACTTTTGATTATTTAATAATAATGTTAACAGACTTTGTTTTATTATGACTTCGCAACTCATATTTGACTATGAGTTTATATAAATTTTTTTCTTTATTTTGATGTGAGGAATACATCCTAGAAGTTTATATAAGTATTTCATAAACACCCTGTATTTCTCATCTTTAAATGTAACTTTCTCATTAGCTTAAGATAAATATAAAATTGTTCAATTGAACGAGAACATATTTAGTACTTAAGAATGCTCAAGCACATGTAAGATATCCATATTCTTTTTTAGGTTGAGCTAGAATAAGGCAGTATCGTGAATGTGTTGAATGGACAATAATACCATTGGGATATATATTTTTCTCGACAATGACAATGATATTTGATTTCCTAAAGAAAATCTTTGGATGGGCAGATGAGCATTCTAAGAAACGGAAAGCTTCCGGGGATTACAATTTTGAGGGAGGATTTCATACGCCAAAGAGATTGAAAACCGATTGCAATACGGCACATTCGATGGAGGAATATTTCGATGTTGATGACAGCGATGATGATGATGATGATATTGTATTTCTGAGTGAACAGAAATGCTCGCCGACAAGATCATGTACCAAGTTGAATGGCACTCACAAAAAACAATCACAATCTCATCAATGTCACGTGCCAATTGCATCTTCCGTCTATAAATCCACATGTTCTCCATTTATGTCGCATCAATCGAACAATCATAAATCTACCATGGGCCATGTCAATTATAAACACAAAACACATGACCCTGGTCATAAATGTCCTACGTTATGCAAAACCAATCAGTTGAAAGAGAGACATCAGTATGAAGAATTGCTGCACAATTTCCTTCCAAATAGGATACATATATTGAAGCATAAATGTGCGGAGCACACCTATATACACAAGCCCGTAGAAGTAATCGATTTGGAGAAGCGCTCGGAGGTTGTATCGCCTAATGACAAGATTCGACCTGTCGCCGTCAGTGCTCCTGTCATCGTACATCAATGTACAAGAGGCAATTTGTCGAGCTGTACTAGAATAGACAAAGGAAAAGTTCCTATTCTAGATTATAGCAGGAAAGATACCGCATCGTATTTACAACCCTTCAAGATATCAATCGATAAGCCCAATGTCAGTAGTACAGTGAGACCTACTACTGCGCCGAAATCGCCTGTTAAAGCCGTTGCAACTAACTCGTTACGCGACGAGCTGGCCGCGAAGGCAGTCATGAGGCAAGATTTTATCCCGCAAGTTGCCAAGAGGTACAACGAGCGGATTGAGCAACGGCATAAAGAGGCCGAGGAACTGAAAAAGATGACATGTGTCCTATCGAAGCACAACAGATATGCGCGAGAAGCGGCTCTGGAAGAACAGCTGGCACGCTCTATGAGACTATGTTTGGCCGTTCTGGATGACAGAGAGGAACCGGAGGAACCAGCGTTACCGGTGCTAACCGATGAAATGTTGCGAGAAGTGAGGAGTGCTCTCGTGCCTTGTCCACAAGACGAGGTTCTTGCGGAAGGTTTCGGCCTGAGGATCACGCGAAAGGACATCCATACGCTGGCCGGCTTAAATTGGCTGAATGACGAAGTGATAAACTTCTATATGAATCTGTTGATCGCTAGAGGCACGTCTTCGAATAAATATTCGAAGGTACACGCCATGAACACGTTCTTCTATCCGAAATTACTTTCGGGCGGTCATTCATCTCTGAGACGATGGACTAGAAAGGTAGACATATTCGCGCAAGATCTCGTCGTTGTGCCCGTACACCTCGACATTCATTGGTGTATGTCGATAATAGACTTCCGGGACAAATCGATTACTTATTATGACAGTATGGGCGGCAATAATCCAAAATGCCTGGCGGCACTAAAGCAGTATCTGCAGGATGAAAGTCTAGACAAGAAGAAATTATCCTATGATATGAGCGACTGGATATTGCAGTCTGCCAAGAATATTCCGCAACAGATGAATGGCAGTGATTGCGGAATGTTCTCCTGCATGTTCGCCGAGTATGTCTGCGCGAACAAGAAGATAACTTTTACACAGGATGATATGCCATACTTTAGGAACAAAATGGTTTATGAGATACTGAAAGGTAAACTTTTGTAAAGGAGCAGGCTAATGTTAGAGGAAACGCGTTCGTGATAAAAACATTTAAGCGATTTGATGCTATAGAGAATTATCCGGAAATAATCGGTAATAATGCGTTACTATATTAATCATAAAAAGAGAAAGAGAGAAAGTGGAAATTACTTAATTGACTTTCTGTATTCAAATATACTTTGGTCGCAGATTAAAGAAAACAAAAATCCAAAATCCTTTAAACCGAATTTTTTTAAAAGTATACTTCTTTTTTTTTTACTTTTTGAAACAGGAAGAGAGAAAGAGAAAGATGCGTTTACATTGTATAATTATTAATCCTGTGGTTTTTAAATAAACTGTAACAAATTTACATACACATAGATATACGTGTACTATACATAGATTTGAGAAAGTTTTTCCACTGTACAGACAGGATAGTAATCTATAAGTTTCATTATTTTCAGCAAATATATTGTTATGGACGAAAAAATTTGCAACATTGTTTTTTGATGAATTAAAAATAGTGCAAGAATCACATGAAACATCACGATTCTGAAATTGATCAAAACAGAATTTCGCAATCTCTTTCTGTCTATGAATATAATTATGCCACTTTCTGTTTGGCTTATGTACATTGTTTAACTGCTTCTGAATTAATTTATACGTAAAGTAAAGTTGTATAGAATAAAATTATATTATATTAATATACTTTGTCTACCATATTAATACAACAATGACTAGTATTAATTCATTGTTTTGAAATAAATAATTTTAATGAAGATTTACTCAAGACAATTATATTTTGCATTATGATTTCAAATGTAAGATATTTATGTAATATCTATCTAATTTTTTCTTTTCTTTTTTCTTAAAATAATATTTTATAATAAATAATTTTTTTCATCTTCCTTTTTCTCTCTTTAAAAGATGAGCACACGTGCTTTTGTTATTTTAATCGTACTAAGTGTAAGAAAATGTAGTTAAGAGTATTTTTATAATCATATATATGAAAAGGATCTATTTTTTTTTTTTTTTACTTATATTTTATTTTTTTTATTTATGTACATATGTACAAATTGACGATTGTAACAAACTTTAAAGGTGTGCTCATGAGGTAAATATATATAAAAATAAAAATATATATATATATTATATGTTTATTACATATATATATTATATATTTATTGCTCATATATATATTATATATTAATAATTTACTTCATGGACGTGCTTATATTCAACATTAATACATACACATATATAGAGATGACATCTCAGTGACATATCATACACACATACATACACACATTGTGTCAAATACATAGCGACATGACACTTCGAGAGTTGAACGCCTGTCAAAGTATTGGAATTTATTGTCGATGTATATCCTGTAATTAACATTGAAATATATAAACGGATGTGAATTTATTTCATAGAAGTGTGCCGCACGTTTATTATTCGTTATAATTTTATTCGTTATCATCGAATGGAGTTCGTAAACACTTGAAATTTATATATTCTAACCTATGCTAAAATAATTGTATTCTTAGTCCATACATCAACGTAAGTAAAAGAAAATGAGCTCGTGTAGCGTGATTACGTCCGATTTTGTGAATGTATCGATCACAAATTCCGGGCAAGAATCCTGTTGCGTAGAGCGTCGATTTCAGAAGGGAATAACCATCGACGAATTTAAGGTGACTTCTCTCTTCTGCAGATATTTCGTGCTTATGTACGTGCGTAGAAAAATCATATATAAATTACAAAATTACAGGGTAAATTGGAGCTTCTTACGGGTGGCAATCCAGCTACAATGACAATTGAGGTCTACGATAAGAATGACAAGCTTATCTGCAAGTTGGAGGAGGGACAGCGCCTTTTGGGATCTTATCCAATCGACGATGGTATGAGAATACATGTAAGCTTTTGCAAATATTTTGCAACATAAGAGTTAGCGTCTCATCGAAAGAGCCATTTCATACATTTCTTATGATATCGCAGGTCATTGATAATTTCTCGTGCACTACAGAAGACTTAAACCGTGTGGAGAAGTTCGAGATATCCGAAGAGGAGTACGCTAAAAAAACAGGTAAAACTCTTGCATTTATTTTGTATACTAAATTGATAAATGATAATTTTCTACCCATACCTTGGGCTATGTAATACAGATACCGTTAAGGCGTTTCTGGAGAAGAATAAGCTAGGAAAGTATAATGAGGAAGAAATGAAGAAGAAAATGGAGGAGAAGAAACGGGAGGAAGAGGCGGAGGAACGTTCAGCCAGTTTATGTAAAGTCGGAGATCGCTGCGAAGTATCTGTCCCGAATCTACCGAGACGGAGAGCTACTATCTTATATGTTGGTTGGTTGAATCTTAGGACATTCGCATATTCATTCAACAAAAAATATATTTTCGTCTGTCTAATTGTCATATTTCCGTGATATTATCCTATTAGGTAAAACTGAATTTAAAGAAGGCTGGTGGATCGGTGTCAGATATGATGAACCTCTTGGCAAGAATGACGGAAGGTAAATGCATAATTTAATTCCATTCTATATTGCGGTACCGAAATATCTTTGTTTCTTATTGCATTGTGCTTTTTATATTGTCGACAGCGTTGGTGGTAAAAGATATTTCGAATGTCCATCAAAATATGGTGGATTTGTGAAGCCGATGCACGTGAATGTCGGAGATTTTCCCGAAGAAGACTTTGACTTGGACGAAGAACTTTAAAACACCCAGCATTATTTCACTGAATATATATTTACAATTTTTGAATATTCAAAATAGATAAAATTGTATAGAAAATAGGCTTCAAATTAAATAAAGCACATAAATTAAAGTTCTCAGTATTTCCTTCGCTTTATTATGTCAGGTCGCCAGTCAATGGGATGTGTTTTTTCACTCTGAAAATATAGACAAAAGAATAATGCAAAGTTATGAAAAAAGAGTAACTGGATTATCATTACAGATAATTATGAAATTTTTTAGTGTATAGTACGTTATTTATAAAGAAAATCTTCACTTACGGCAGTATCATCCTCTTTATATAATTTTATAGTTTTGTCAGCCTCTGTAGTTATCATGCGAGTGCCTGACATGTCAAACGTAATACTAAATATACCAGCCTCGCTATCCATTGAACCTGGTTGAACTGGTGCTTGGAGTCGCTGGAAATTGTATCCAGTTCTCCAGTCCCAAAGGTGCATGGTACCATTGTCAGCGCCGGATACTAAAACCCCATCGGCGTTTACAGCTAAACAATTAACTATGGCGTTGTGACCAGACAAGTTTTGAATAAACTTCCCCTCTGGACACTTCCACTGTTTAATATTATCAGGCGATGCCGAGGCGAACATGTACAAGGATGGATGGCAAGTCAAAGCTCTAACGCTCTTCTTGTGATTTGTCAGAGTGGCTCTAGACTTTCCAGCAGCCAAATCCCATAGCCTAATTGTACAATCGTGGCTGCCGGTGACAATCTGCGGTTCA